TACAATTCCCACAGTGCTGTAATTTTGGGGGATGAAAACTCCAGCATTCATATTGATCCTGTCATTGATCCCTTGAGTCCCTCTGGCCAAAAGCTCTCGGCTCTTCTTCGCATTCTGTCAAAGTACGCTCAGCCAAGCATGAGACTTGTGCTCAATCCCGTGGTGAGTTGCTATCATAACTTCAAATGCTTGTATGACAAATTCATAATTTCCTAATTGTCTGAGAATTTACTACTTTGTTCCTGCAGAGTTCTCTAGCGGAGCTTCCTTTGAAGAACTACTACAGATATGTCGTTCCAACAATGGTATTCCATGTTCCTTTTGATTATCACCTTCTCATAGAATCACATGCTTTCAGTTCCTCACGATGTCTGAACTCTTCAGGATGACTTCAGCAGTATTGATCACACAGTCCATGGTCCCAAAGCATTTTTCGCAAACATGCTACTATCTAAGACACTCACCATGAATCTTGATGTTCCTGAACCGTGGCTTGTGCAGCCTCTAGTTGCCGTGTAAGTTTCGAGTCAGGGGCCTTATCCTTGCTTAAAATATTTGAAGATTTATTTAGAACTATCTATTAGAGATTTGCTTACTTTCCTTTATTGTTCAGCTATTTATTTATGAATTGACATTTTGCAGCCATGATTTGGATAATATATTGCTCGAGAATCTTGCTGACACCAGGACGTTGACACCAGGACGTTGCAGGCTGTGTTTGAATTGGAAGCTCTTTATCTGACAGGTACTGTTTGTTATATTATGAAGAGCTTATAACAAAATTACCTGAAAGTTAGTGAAATTACAAAAAACCTACTTATTTTCTAAATTATGAAAAGCTTCTTGAGGTTTGTATATACCTTACAGTAAAACCCTTCTGATTGCTCTTGAGGGGGTACCCTTTTTAGATTACAGACCTCTATTTGTTTAATAAATTTTATGTTCTTTAAATTACGGTGGTTATCTTACTTATCCCAATATTAGTTTTGATAATCAGTCGATCTTGCTATGAACAAAAAAAAAAAAAATCCAGGTCATTGCTCCGAGAAAGATCATGGACCCCCGCGAGGTCTTCAACTGATTCTTGGATCTAAAAATACTCCCCACTTGGTTGATACCCTTGTTATGGCCAATTTGGGTTACTGGCAAATGAAGGTCTTGCCTGGGGTCTGGTATTTGCAGCTTGCTCCAGGAAGAAGTTCCGTGCTTTACCTTATGAAAGAAGACAGTGATGGAAATGAGGGGACATCTTTGTT